AAGAAACGGTAAAAGGGCACTACTGGGAGTCCTAGTACATTGAGAAAACCCACAAAATGGTCACAAATGACACAAATGGTCACAAAATGGCAAGAAAGGGCCACCTAGTCTGGTTAGAATCAGTTGGTTCCCTTTGTTCTGCCTCCCAACCAGAAAAGGGTAAAAAGGGGCCACTGGGGGACCTGGTCTGGCTACTTTTTGTGCCCACTCCGGCGCTTCGAAAGGCGCCTGGTAGATGCCCTCCACGTGGGCGTCCGCGCTGGTCTGGTCATCTTGGCACCCGGAGAACACCCACAGCCTCGGCCGGGCGGAGCGAGCGCGCCCGTCGGAAAAATCCACGAGGGGGCTTCATGCGGGGTGACTTTTGCGCAGATGGCCGGAGAGTCGTGGCCAAATGCGGGCAAAAATGCGGCCAAATACGGGAGGTTGACCGAAAAAACAATGGAAAATAAGCTCAGGTGATATCCCCAACAGCATGCGGTGCTCTTTTTAGTGCTCGCTCGCACCACCCCGCAGCCCTCGCAGAACCTCGTGGAACCCTGGTGGAACCCTGGTGGAACCCTGGTGGAACCTTACCTCAGGGCCGCCCCGGAGCCTATCTGGGCTGAGACCCCAAAGCTTTCAGCTGTTGGGGGAAAAAAAAGAAGCCATACGGGGTGTCAGGCAGATCTAGCTGGAGCCAGGGTCGTCAAACATGCAATGAAGCCGAACATGTGCTTGAAGCAACTCCCGCAAGCCCATGACGCAAAATGAGTAAAGTGGCTTTCGGTCTTACCAAACACGGTCCCAGCGTTATCGTTGTCAAGGAGCCGCCACTGAAAAAGTAGTCGTTTCCAAATCCGAATGGGACCCAGCGCCCTGAAAAAGGAAGCTCAAACAACAGCATATTTTGTGGTATTCTACTTGGGGTACTTGAATGTTCAAGCCACTAAACTAGGATAAAGCCATGGCGACAAGGACACCAACCCAGAGACCAGAAACTGAAGACTCAAGCACCCGGTACTAAAAAGGACAACCCGAAGTCATGAGAAGAACCAAGAAGGCACCTATTTGGCTGTGGCTCAAAAATTAAGCAGCAGGGGTTACGCAGGTTTTGGTCCATGGTTCCACTTACCAGGGTTCCATTTTGGCACGGGTTTTTTAAGCCACAGGCATTTGTGGTTAGGTCTGTCCCTACCAAAAAAAATCACTTGCTCAGGTTTGGCTTTTCTGGCCCAGGAGCGGGCCTCAGAGTATGAAAGGCGTCAACCCCGCAACAGCAATCAGCTCTTTGGCGGTCTACTGGGTCCTCAGTAGAGAGGTTAGCATAAGTTGGTACCTTTTTCTATTACCGTCCATTTAGGGCGGTGTTACCCTGTTTTTGGCGGTGTTACCCTGTTTTTGACGTGGTTACCTCACCACCTTCCCTTTTTTCTCCTTAAAAAAGGGTAAAAGGGCACTACTGGGGGACCTTTGTCAGTTTACCCCTTTGGCCCGCAGAAGAAAACACCGCCTGGAACCCTGTTGCTGGGGAGCACACCGGGGGAAAACTTCTGGGGGGGTTCACTTCTGAACCTAGCCGTTGAGGGCTTAAACCCCAGGGGTGATTCATGCCCCTGCCGATTCTAAATTGGCGTCCATGGGCGCGGCTCAAATTCTCGTCGGGCACGGCTCAAAAACGCAATCCGCTGGAACCTGTGGATCTTGGGGATCAAGAAAGGCTTGGAGAAAATGAACCCGAGAGCGGAAGAAAAACTCCCCCCATCTCTATGAGGCGGCTACTAGCGCCAAAACTCATAGCGCCGAAGGTCGTCACGGGTTTCTTGGATCCATTGACCACCAGAACAAAAACTGACCATCCAAATATGGGTGGCGAGTCTCCTTTTTAGGTTGGACTCCCCAAAATGGTTTCGGTGTTCCGTTTGGTTCCCTTTGAAGCCACTAAACAAGACCATGCGGGTATGTTCAACAATAGGAATAGGGATTCGAGTCCAAACACAATGGCAGAATTGTCAACTGTTGGTTTCCCTTGAAACCCACCGTGTACCCAAGAAAAAATGCACACGAGCCACGCCCATATGGCAACTTCATGTTTAAGAGTTAGTATGGTGAACGCCCTGAAAAGTGGTAGATATGAATTCGGAAATACCAGTCCGGGTCCGGGTCCAAATCGACTTGCTGGTGCGACAGGTAGGGAATAGCCTTCCGTGTGTTGGAATGAACAAGTCGGAATTCCCTTAAAGGAACCATGATGAAAAATAATAAAAGTGCAAGATGGCGTATCGAACCAGCAAGTCAAAAAGCAAAAAAAAAAAAAACATACGGCGTCGCATCTCCCAACGAAGAAAATGTCGTCGCGTCGCTCGTGGTCGGTGAACTTCTCTTTGCGCACCACGTCCCGCATGCCAGCACCCAGCGGCTTCACGCTCCGCTCCTGCCGGAACGTCGTCGGGGAAAATTGACGCCTGCGATCGGTGCCCGAGATGCGGGGAATGAGACATGGCTGTGGCTCAAAAACATGTACCCAAAATGGCCCCTAGGTAAGTGGAGGTAAATGGAAACCAATCTCAAATTTTGAGCCACACCCAAACGCAAGGACTGCCATAAACCTATAAACCATCTACCCTCCCAACAATCACGGAAGCTGACGATCGGAGGGTTTTGGAAGACTCTGTTCCTTTGCGGGAAACCCCCCTGTCCACTTCCATGATTGTTGGAGGGAGGGTATAATTTCCTTTAAGGGCCACTCCGTACTGAGCACCACCAAGTTACAGCCATGCTGTGGATGGACGAAATCCACTTCGCACCAGTTTGGGTTGCATGAAACCCGATGAATACTGGGATAAACCACTTCTAGTGAAGGATTCTGTCCATCCACAGTGGGTATCGTTTGTGGATGATTTTAAAAAAAAAGACAGACCAAAGTCGATTTTGGGGGTACGATTCCTATTTGGAAACAAAACAAGTTGATCAAAAGGTTGGTTGGGATCATCCTTAAGATTGTCCGCGATTGTGTTCAATTTCGAAATACCTTCCTGTCGAAAGGAACATCGTCTTCCAGGACGCATGCTAGTGGATGAAAGGGTAGTGTACTGGCTGGTTCCAAGAAATGAGCCCAACAAAACCATCCCTTGCCCTTCTTTGGAACTGAGGGAACCATCCCTTCTGGTTAGTAGTTCCGCCAGGCCCAGGGTGAAGGTGGCGCAGCTCCCCAAGTTTGGTTCAACCATCTCCTTTACTTACTCAAACCACGGGAAACTCTACTTACACCAAACTTAAGCTGTTGCACTTGCTGGTTCCAAGAAATGACCCAGACCAAAACCAGCTCGCAGGGTGAAAGTTGGCACAATTCCTTTCTGGGTAATTGGGCTGTTCGTTGTCAGATCTGCTAAAAGTTTAACTCTTAGTGGGTGAAAAATTGAACCCCAACCACTCAACCAACTAAGCTAAGTTGAACCGGATGACTCTTCCAGCAAGGCAAGTCACGTGGGGATTTTTATCCCAACGATTTGGAACCAACTTAACTATCCCCCGTTTTCCAAAACGTTTTGAAATCCGGATCGCAAAACGCGAAACACATTGCAAGTCCTTGACATCAGGGAGCAGGTAGACGAGTGAATCATAGAACTTTTCTGTTTGGACCCCCCCAAACATATCACCCCCCCCCCCTTCCGCATCTCCAAAATGGTGCCTATTTTAGTCTTTTGGTCAGGGTGTGTTGGGGGAAGGGGGGGTTTTAGGGGCTTCAGGAAGGTGTGAGTGAAACTGTGCCATCCAAGCGCCCAACTCTACCAGATCGATGGAAGTTGGCTCGTCGTCCAAGCGGTTCGTTGAGTAAATGGGGGTTGATGAATATTCCACTTGGGGCCCCAGTTTTGACCTTGGGCAACTTGTCCCATTTGGTGGTTGAACTCTCATCTTTGTTTTGGTTTTCCAACCCATGTTCATCCACACACTGTCCAAAAGGACACCTGTTTCAACTGGGTGTGGGGAGGGGACCGGGCTGCGGGTTCCTGAATGCAACTGGTGAACTCACTTCGGGGTGGACCACTGTGATTTGGCACAGCTCAAGGGCTTTTTCCAGGGATGGGTCTTGGAGGCACGGAGGTTATATACCACTCACAATAAATAGCGGCATGCACCGCCTTGCAACCTTATATGTGTAAAACCAATCCTTGAAGGGCAAATATGAGTGTGGCGTTTTCTGAGGGTACTTTTACTCTTCTTCTTTTTTTGAGAGGAGAGGGTTGAAAGGGTTTTCTGAGGGTACCTTGGTTTTGTTGTTCTTTTGGGGGGGGGGCGGGCCTGAAAGGAAAACCCAAGGCACACCACCTAATTTGAGGGTGACCCAATTTGGAGACACCCTCATAAAAGGAAACTCAGTGGGGTGGGATTTGCCGTGATGGGGATCGTATACATGGCAGGTGTCCTATTCGGAACTGTTTAGACCAACCCAACACTTGTACCCTCAGGAAATGACATACACACATTATGTCACATAATACATATGTATATATATATATATGTATATATATATATATATATGCGTGTATGAGTTTGTCTTTTTTTGGGAAGGGACCACCTTCAGGAACCCCTTTTGGTTGGCTTTTTAAAGGGAACACCAAAGGAACAAACCGGAATCTGGTTGGTGTTAAGGGGAAAACCACACAAAAAATAACGGACTCCTTTTTGTGGAGGGGTCCAAAACCTAAAAAGGCCACACATGCATCTGACTCTCCTCCTCCTCGATGTCCATCTCCGGCTGGGGCAGGTAGCGGACTCTCACCTGCCCAAAATCCCCCGTAAAACCCACTTCTGGGCACTCAGCTTGGGCACACGAAGGTGGCTCTCCTTTTGCTTTTGGCTTGTCCCAGGTACCTGAAGAGGAGGGCGCAGGTAGCTCTTCATTTGAGTCACTTGCTCAAAACCGATGGGTACTAAAATGGTCGTAATCCCAGAACCATGGCTCAAGAATTAAGAAGGCGGATATCCGCAACTATTTCTGGCTGGGACTGCCCCTTACTAACCTTCATCTACCCGGGCATTGATTGTGGCTCAAATGCTGGTGCTCAGCAGGGAATGAGAATTGGAATGACCTCCATAAACCATCGCCTACGGTTTCCTGTAAGGGAATCCCTCGGTTCATTCCTACATTCCCTACTGAGCACCAGCAAGAAAATCAGGGTGTTTCCCTAGGCACAAGACGTCCACTGGAACCACTGCGTGTACCATATTCCCCTGTCATAACTTGGTTGACGTTGGGAAGGGGAGCAAGCATTTGAAATTCAGCAGTGAAGTGGTTGGATTTCAACCACTAAACCACAACAGGCAAAAATGCAAAAAAAATGTTTTAGCAGTTAAGTGGGGATTCCCCACCAATAATAATAAACCACAACAGGCAAAAATGCAAAATGTCTCCGAACAACAACCCTGGTGGCAGTTCTCACCATCTTCCCGGCAAAGTTTCCATGTCCCGCTCGGGTGAGGTTTTTTTTGTTCGCGGCCCGTGGAGCCAACGAGAATCATTTCTGGCACGAGGAAAGTGAGGCGAACCATTCGAGGTCCTCCAGTAGAGAGGTTAGAACAAGTTGGTACCCGATTTTTTCCTGTTTTGTCTATTTTAGTAGGGGAACCCTCCCCCCAAAAAAAAGTTGGTACAAGGGCACCTAGCCGGGGGACCTATCATTGCAACGAGAGGTCGACCCAAGTCATGGACCTTCAGGGCAAGTTATCAGCTGTGATTCACCCCTCATGGGGGAGCCCAAGTAAGCCTCATCAAGGTCGGTTTCTACGCCTGGCTCGTCAGAATTTGCCCAGCGTCGAAATCTCTAGCCGACGCGGAGGGAAAAAGAGGGTGGATTGAGAGAGCCGGCGAAGAAACTGAGGACTAAAAGAATTGGCACTTTGTTTTGGTGGTTTATTTTAAAGGGAAACCAAGTGTCTAAATGCGCTTGGAACAACGTGAGCTCTACTTGTCCGCACAAAGGCAAACCAAAAAGACACGAATGGCATTTTGCGGGTTCAGATTTCCTATTTTAAGATACGCCCGTTGAGGTTCGATTGAAATACCGCCGGAGGGCTATTCTTGACGGACTGAGAGAGACAAGGAGCCATAAGGACATGGTCCTTGGGGTTCATCTTGCCCCCAATAAGAATGGCCCCTTGAAAAACACAATTTGGATGAGTTACTCCAGAACGGCAAATAAAGGTGGTGCGATATGAACCCAGACTTTGTTTGAATCGTGGCAATTGAATGCCAGGGGGAAAAAACACGATACTCACTCATCGTCACCCTGAAACCCCCCTTGCAGCTCCAAAAGAGATCTATCGCGAGCGATGAAAACTCACTGCTGCGCGTTGACAACTTTTAGTGGGATAAATTCGGAAATGCCTCCTAAGCACGAAAAATAAGAAAAACAAAAAGCAAAAAAATGGAAGAACAAAACAAAAAACAAACAAACAAACAAAAAACATGATAAGGAACCGGATGGCTGGGAACCACCAAGGAAATCCGATGGCTCGTCTTTGGGTGGGAAAATTCCAATTCGACTGGACATCTCGATCGAGAAGACCTGCGCGCCTTTGAGGAAGAAAACACATGTGAAGTGGAGGGGGCTCAACTTCCATGTGCATTTTCGCCCCCCGGAAAACCTAGAAAACTACTGTGGATGGACAAAATCCTGCACCACCTAAGAAACCCTGGATTGATGATTCTCCTGCAACTACCAACAAATCATGGTTCAACGTGGTGCAGGATTTCGTCCGTCCACAGTGTGTCCAGTAGTGAATTTGATTCCCTTTAAAGCAAAAAAAGAAAATGAACAACAAAATGTTCTTGAGCAAAATTGAAGTCATCAGTCTATGAGCCCAGCCGCCTCTTTGCTCATCTTGGACTGATGGGACTTCTTGTAGTCCTCCTGCTCGTCCTCCTCCAAGTTGCCAATGTAGATCCTCAGCTTGGAAAAGTTGGCGTTCGAGAAGACCCCCTCCAAGTTGTTTCGTTCGAGAAGACTCCCTTGGTTCTAGGGGTTTATTAGACTCCCTTGGTTGTGGACTGAAGAGTAGGAGTTAGACTCTAGTTTATTCACTACTTCTGGGGTTTGACTCCCAAAGGTTGGCGTCTGCTGGGTATGGGTCAAAATTAAACCACCAAGAGACCACAGGTTTTAGTCATTGTTTCCATTTACCAGGGTGCCATTGTGGGTACCTATGTTTGACCCACTGCCTGTTCTAAGGCTTGCTTCCAACCATTCTTTTCAACCATCCTTCTTTTCAAACCGGATCCGTTTTCCCTGGGATTCTGGAGGTTTTCTAGAAAGAAGGATCCCTAGAAAGAATGGAAATGGAAGGTACCCCTAGAGCTGCAGGAACCATGCTTCAAGAATTGAAGAAGGCGGATACCCGCAACTATTTATGCTTGGGATCGTCACTCACTAATCTTCATCTAGCCGAAGCGGTTTTGATTGTGGCTCCTAGAAAATTGTGGGCTCGTCCCGAGATTCATGTAGAGCTATGGAACCCAAGAAGGAGGTTCCCAAGGAGATTTGAATCTCTGAGACAAATGAGTCACAATCACAACCCGGTAGTAAAATGGTTGACCCAGAACCATGTAAAGAATTAGGAAGGCGGATATCCGCAACTATTTCTGGCTGGGACTGCCCCTTACTAACCTTCATCTACCTGGGTTTTGATTGTGGCTCAGATGGTTTTGCGGGTTCCATACGTCTACATGAATCTGGAGCAGGAAGGTTAGTACGGGCTCGACAAGACAGAACAAGGGCAGGTTTTAGGACCTGTTGGGGATTCTCTGGAATCAACAAATGGCAATGACCCGAATGGCCGAACTAATCTTGGTTTTCTGATCATACTGTGGATGGACAAAATCCTGCACCACCTAAGAAACCCTAGAACAATATGATCCCCTGTACATACCAACAATTAGTGGTTTCCCATGGTGTCTTGGGTGGTGCAGGATTTCGTCCACCCACAGTAGTATCGTGCAGCATACACTTTTCTCGCAGCACCTTGAGCTTTGCAGAATGATGGTCGGTACATCAGGGATACCGGGATGTGCTTGGGATGCGTTTCTCTGGCTGGTTTGGGGAATCTCGACTAGTTCTCAGAACATCAGTCGAGGCTTTGGGAATGACCCTACAAATACTGTAGGGGTTGATTCCCCATTCGTTTCAACCATCGTTCTTTTCAAAAACCAGCTGTTTCCCCAGGGTTTTGGGTGGTTTTTTAGAAAGAAGGATGCCTGGAAAGAATGGAAATGGAAGGTACCCCTAGAAATACCGCTGTCCGGAGGTTTGTCTGTTCCACTTGCGAGGTCCTTTTGTCCTTTGGATCCATGGTTGTGTGGTCTTTCGGGAGCCCTGCCGAAAAAGGGTGCGAAAGGGACAAAGGTTCTTTGCATGGGATGACCACTGGTTCGAAAACCACCCTCCATTTGCTTAAGCCCCCTAGAAAAAATAGAATATGTCCAATAGTGATAAACTCCCTTTAAAACCAACAGGGGAAAATAAAAAGTAATCTTAAGCAAAACGAAGCCACTACAAACTTCTCGAATGGGAAATGCTACCCATGGTCATCACTGGGTGCCCTAAATGGAATATTGATCAACCCCCCAATGAAACAGAGTCTGTCGAGAATCAAGGCCGGCTGGGTAATTCTACCTACCCTCCGTTGCCATGGAGGATCTTACAGATCTCCTACGGGAGCCTGTTTGTAGGAAGGGTAACCATGGATATCACCCAGTGATATCACCATGGTCACAGAGTTTTGGCTGGCACTTGAAGGGACACCTAAGGAAGGCTCACCGTTTGAGGCGAGGGACTCCTCTTTTGAGAAAAAGCGAAACAACATCTGAGCCAAACCTTTGATCCAAACCTTTCAACGGCCAGCCCTCAACATCCACCCTCCATTTGAGTTTGGTTCGCCCTCTGGACAAACATGAGAACATCTGTCCAGCAGTGAAACCATCCCCTTTGAAACCCCAAAAACAGTAGAAAAAAAGGAAAATAGCCACATATTCATCTCAGAACTGGCCGTACCCCAAGCCTTTCTTCGCCACCAAACCCAAAAAGCCCAAGCCCTGCGAAGCATCCCAAGCTTCCATTTGGTTAAGACCCCTGGAAAAATGAAAAATATGTCCAGTAGTGATAAAACCCTTTTAGGTACCTGCAGCCTTAAACGATCCAGAACTGGGGAACTGACCAACCAAAAGGAATCCCGAAATCCATCGGGGGTTTTCCCAACCCCCCTGGAACCTCAAAAAAAAAACGCCGACTTAAGCAAATGGAAGCACTCTCAAGCCGAGGCGCTTGGCGCCCTCGCCGGGCTTCAGGTTCTGAATCTTCGCCACGGCCTTGCTCTTCTCATCCAGCTGCGCCTCGTTGCGCCACGTTTCGGGGTGGGGTGAGGTATGGGGGAAGGGCTCACGGGTATAGCAACTGAAAAATGGGTTGTTCTAGCAACTTACAAAGAATATGGTTAACAATGGTTGTAGCAACTCAAAATGAATAGGGTTGGTTTATTTTCCAGCTTCTTTTATGGGTAGTTTCTTGGTTGCTGTTGACGACCCTGCGAAAAGTTTGAATCACTTTTTGGGGGCTTTAAAGGGTTTAAAGGGGTTATTTTAGTTGTTATTTTCTAAAAAGAAAAAAACGAGGCGGTGTTCACGGGTGTGTCACGGGGAACGGTGTTGGTCCAAATTGGTCGGAACGGCCAAGGTCTTTCTTTGGGCTGCCCTCAGATCCGCGAAAGCGGAAAAAACCTTTAAGTGGGTTGAATGGGAAAAACACAAAAAACAACTTATCAGCCGCGAAAGTAACAACCAAGAGTGGGTTGAATTGGAAAAAAAAAACACCAAAAAACGCTAAGAAGCTCAAAAGCTCAGAAGCTAAGTTGAACCGGAGGGCTGGGAGCCCAGTTTGGACCTACAAGATCAAAGCCAAGAAAGGTCGCCGGAGACCTTTCACACCCAAATGTCTTCTCTTTTGGACCTTCAAACAGCCAGGAAAGAAGACAGAAGAGAGGCACCCGCAAAAAAAACGACACACCCAAATATGGCCTTGGCATCCACAAAAAAGATACGCAAAAGATCGCGTGCTCTGACTCTGTTCCATAGTTCTTCCGTTTTCGGAGGAGACCCCAGTGGGTGTTTTGGACGAGCCCCTTCTTAGCTTCGAGGGAAGCCAAATGTTTGGGAGCGTTCCCCCTTTGACAGAAATTAACCATAAAAGGATCTGCCCCCGCAAAAAAGAAACCGGCCGGAAGGTTCGCAAAGGACCTGCTTGGCGGAAGCTTCTGGGGTAGCGGGGGGGGGGGGGGTCTAGTTTGGGGGGCTCTCAAAATCGCGGACCCTCAGAGGACCAGTTCGTTTTTGCATAACTTGGGACTTGGGCCCTCAAAAAGTTTGTTTTTCCAACCCCAAGCCTGTTGCATAAGTTGGGACTTGGGCCCTCAAAACAGGTTGGAAGTTGGGGTTGACGAGTAAACGAACGGGGTCCCAAGAAAAAAACAGTGCCGGGTTCGCTACAAAAATGAACGGGTCCCCCGAAAAAGAAAGAAAAAAGCAAAAGAACAAAACAGTCAAGACACACCCACGGAGCTGTGGATGTTGCCGCAAAAAACGACGCAAAAACCGCAACCCGGAGCCACGCCTGGGCTTTTTGCACCGACTCGTTGCACAAGGTGGAGATCGCCTGGCCCGTGAGATACCTGGGCGTGCGTGCGTGGGTGGGTGCGTGGGTGGGTGGGTGGGTGGGTAGGTGGGTGGGTGGGTAGGTGGGTGGGTAGCTGTGTGTGTGTGTGCGAGTGGGTAGGTAGGTAGGTAGGCAGGTAAGTAGGTAGGTGTGTGTGTGGAGTGTTCTTTGAGTGTGCCATTTGTGGCGATGGTTTTTTCAGCCAACTAAGCCAAAAGGAGTATCGATTTTGCGGTGGGAGTCCCCGAAATCGACGACCCAAATCACCAAGTGGCCCGTGGCTCGCAGTCCCCAGAAACCCTGTCCGCACCGTTCAGAAACCCTGGCGTCTGATTCTCACGGTAAATACCAACCAAAAACAACTATGGTTGCAACCATGGTTTCTTAGGTGGTGCGAAATGGATTTCGCAACCATCCACAGTATGATTCAATCCAAGAACCCGCAACTCAACAACCCATAACCCCCAACAGGGTATACTCCCCAAAACCGGTATTTTTGGAGGTCAACCCCTCCTCCTTTTCTCACAAGCCGTTCAACAGGCCTTGAGTTCATGTCTTACGAAAGGGGGGAAAAGCACAGGGGCTGTGAAAGGAACATGATCCTGCCCGATTTTTGGGGTAGGTGCACCACCCATTTTTGTCTATTTTAGTCGGGATTGGGATGTTCACTGGGGGTACGGGATATTGACCCATGGCAATTTGGTGGCAAGCCAAAGCCTGGAAGGCGAGGTCGAAAGGTCACGAGCTGAGTGGCCAACAAGAGACGACGCTGGACCGCGACAAAAAGCTACATTCCAGCCCACAAGATTGTCCTGAGTTGTTGATTGTTTTTCTTAGTTGTTGATTGAGCGCCATCTTTCCCAAAAAGTACTTGTCCCTGTAATTTGTGGGAATCTTGCCGCGCAAAACAATCTGCAGTCACTGGATTCTCCCTCAAGCTGCACTTTACTGGTGGGTGCCAACCAAAATCGTCACTTTTGGAGGCACTCTTTAAGGAAAAGACTTCGGGATCCCTGTCAAAATGGAGGGGGACGCATGGTCTCTTTCTGTCCCGGAAGTGGCAACCTTCCTTCGCCTGAATCCCAGACCTCCAGATTTCTGGGTTGGTTGAGTTTGCAAAGACGCCCGCCAAAAACAGTAGAAAAGAAGGACATTGTTTCATTGCTTGCCAAGTTTCAAGGGAAATCCAGCAAACAAAATTGAAAATGGGGCATGTTCTTTGTTGGCGGGCCAATTTTTTAAGGAAGCCTAAGGAACCTATCAAAACACGGGTGGTCCGGAATGGGGGATCCAGGAACCCAGCAAACAAGAGAACCAAAGCACGATGAAACAGGGGGACATGCAGTGACCCCCAAGTCAAAAGTTGCAATTGACTGGGGGTTTCCATTGAAACCATCGCCACTTTTCGAGGTTCCAACAAGGGAAATGGAGGAAACCCTGCCAAGGGAGCAAGCAACCATTTTAGCGGACCCACATAAAGATTGAGACCCCCAGCATATATGCAATATCAGATTCCCTCTTCTTGGGGGGCTTGGATTGGTGGTTTGAACAACCCAACCACACCGCACGTGTGGGGAAGCAAAAAAAACACGGATTGAACACCCTAACCACACCGCACGTGTGGAAGAACAAAAAAAACACAACGCGGAGCGAGGGACGTGTACCCGGAGCCGTCGTCGTTGTAGTCCCCGACACTCTTGGGGAAGCCGCTCTTGGCCAAGAGTTGATTCAGCTCCTCCTTGCCTCGGAGGGGGAACATTAATCTTCACAACCCAAACGGTATGGGCGTAAAAAACAACTGACTGTTTTCGCAGCCCCCGAACCTAAAAATGAACAGAACCAAAACAAACATGCTAAGAACGGTGAAGTCACAGTCATTCACTCAGATGCCCCGCGGATTTCCACGGGAAAAAAAGAATCGGCGCCCTTTTTTCGTTGCTTGAGTTTAAAGGAATCGGAACCCTTCCCCAGAAAAGGTTGAAAAAAGGGCGGAATCCACAGACTGGGAAACAGAGTTCATAATGAGGATGGACGCAATCCATTTCGCATCACCTAAGAAAGCCTGGTTTCTGATGATTTCCCTGTAAATGCTTGTTTGTTGGTATTTACCGGGGAATCATTTCATTCCAGGGTTTCTGAGGTGGTGCGAAATGGATTTCGTTCAATCACAGTAGCTTTCCTGTTGGGAAGATGAATGGCGCTGGTAGATCATAAATATATAACAACCAGGTCAACCAGGTCCATCATTTTTCTCCAGTACCAAAACAACCAAAAAGGAGTAACATTTTCGCGCACGATTTACCACCTAAAGGCGGGAAACACGATAAACCTTGAAACAGAAGGGTCAAAACCCAAACATTAACGCATGGTTGCCAGACACGTTCTCAAAAAATAGTTTTCAGAGCCCTTTCAAAGGGGACACAACCCATTTGGGAGCCCGGACGGGTCTACAAGCTTCCGTTACACCGTACACGGCCGAAAGCGGTGCGGCGCGTGTCCTAGACAGTAAAGAATCAAAAGGGCATGCATCGGCACCAATTCACGGATGGGACCATCCCCTACTAGCCTATTGACAGCTCCCTCAACGTCAGCACGTTGGGGACCACTCGCTTAGAGAGGGGGAGGTTCTCCGGATTAATCCGAAGTTAACATTAGTTGATTTTAAAGGATCAACCCACCTTTTGTTTTAACTTTCCTTGTTAACATTCGTGCATGGAAACGCAACCCACTGGTTGCGTCGGGGGCTCCGAAACCTTCGAAAAGCCTCAATGACCGGAACACCTTATGGGTGGCTCGTCTCTTTTTAGGTTGGATCCCCCAAAATGGTTGGCGTTCCTGTCGGTTTCCCTTTCAAACCACCCTGGATCGCCAGTTGCGATCGTGTTTTTCCACGCACTGTACCCCAAAACCAGCAACAGTGACTGAAACAAAAACAGCAACTTGGCTATCTAGGACCAAACAACGCGGCATCTTCAAAGGACACACCCTGAAACTTAATTGGGTGACTTGGTGGATGGCGAAATCAATCTCCCCATTTAGGTTTCATCATCCCCTTTACCTACCCACATAAATGAAATTCAATCTACTTTTCACCCTGGTGTAATTGTAGAACATTTATTTGTTTTGCCTCTCTTTGAGCGCAAATGGGGTCCGAAATTTCCTCATACACACACACACACACACACGGGGTTTTCATGGGGGGTTTTCCAGCTGCTTGCGTGCTCGGAAGCCGTTCAATCCGTCTAGACGTCCCGAACCGATAAACCGATGGGAGAGAATCCCTGAACCTTCGGTGCCTCTAAGCCTCCAAGGCGAGGCGGTGTGGCTATGTTCATTTGGGTCTGCCTTTGTACCATTTTCGGGGCTTGGATTGAAGGGAAACCAAAGAAAGCAACCACAACTTTTGGGTGCCCCATTTCAAGACACACACACACACACATGTGGCATGTGGGTGTGCTTTTTAGGGGGCCCCGCAAAAATGGTGGTGGTCCTTTTGGTTTCCCTTTGAAACCACCAAAAACGGGGTATGTCAAAAAGAGACACACGAGCTGCAGCCAAACAGGCAACCATGCGTGATCAGGGCACCCTGCAAAAAGTGAGAACGTCTTGCTGGTAAGCAAGAATGAAGGAACACCCTCAAAGGCAAAAGGTTCTTAAAAGGTAAGATCTACCTGGGGTTGTCTCAAAATAGGGGTACCCCAAGAAATAGTGGTGTTCCTTCTCGCTTCCCTTGAAAAGCCAACTTCAGAAAACCAAAAACAAAAGCTGAGAAAAGAAGGACAACCCCAAGACCGACAATGCTTCGGGTAGTGAAATTGATTCCCGTTAAAACCTAAAGGCGGGAATGAATAATACTCATTTCAGAAGATGGAAGGTAAGATCTAAGTCTGACAATCTTGCCTCTAATATTTGGCCGCCCTCTTTTCCTCAGAGCCGCTCTTCTTCTTGATGTCCAGCTTCCCCGTGTTCACCTCGATACCAGGCGGGGATGGCCGTCGGGGCAGGGAGGGGAAGACAAGACCTTCGAGGCTTAATGAGAACTATTTTGGGGTGTAAATTTGTGTCGGCTCTGCATTTTATCTTGTAAAAGGGTGGGCAGGGGGTTATTGTCAGGGGCAAGGGATTAATCTTGGCTGACCGTTTGGGGTTGCTTCTTCAACAGGTTTATGCAAAGATAGAATGCCAGCCTGGTGGGAAAAATGCTGAACAGGGATCCTTACATGAAAAACACCTGAACATTGCGCCTTGTAACTGCTGGGTTCCCTTTTATTTTGGTGTTGAAACAGCAACATGTTTCAAGTGGTTGCAAAATGGAGATATATTCTTTCTTTCGGAGCCCTGAAGATTGGAAGGTTGGCTCAGTCTAGCCACGTAGTCCTCAAGGTTCAAGCTTTACTTGAATGATACACGAAATCCTGCACCAGGTTGAAAGCATTGGAAACCAGCACGTTTATTGGCATTTATAGGGCAATCACCAATCCAGGGCTTCTTAGGTGGTGCGAAATGGATTTCGTCCATCCACAGTATGGCTGTGGTTGTCAAAACCGTTTTGGATCCCATTTTGGTTGGTAGGTGAATTCACCACCCATTTTAGAACCCCATTTTAGTGGTTGGATTGGGATGTTCACTGGGGGTACGATTTGGCTTTTGACCCATGCCCATATGGAGAAACCACACTTCTTTTTCGCCGGGCCCGAGTGAACTCCGGGTCCTCTTCGGTCCTCTGCGGTGCTCCAAATGAGGTCTCAAAGTCGTGCATCAAACGGCGCAAGTTTGGGAGCAACTGCGGAGGCTTGCGAAATCCATCGCCAACGAAGAAACCCTGGAATGAACCACACACACACACACACAAAAATCCAGTATACTGTGGATGGAGGAAATCCATTTCTCACCACCAAAGATACCATGGAAAACCGATTGGTTTTTGTTGGTATGCTCAGGGGAAACATCAGAAACCAGGGTTTCTTTGGTGCAGGATTTCGTCCATCCACAGTATTACTGGATTTGTGGGTTTGTTTTTGCCGTAACGGCTTGGCTAGATTAAATTCAGCATTCCCGGACCTGTTTGGATTCTGGAAAGTATGTTACAGGGATCTGTTTCTTTAGGCACCCCTCCCTTCCTACCCCCCCCCCCCCCCACAGCCCCTAAGCAAAGCCCCCAAACAAAGCTAATGAGGCTTGGGTCACTTCCTGGAAAAGGATCCGAGGACGAAAGCGTTCAAAAGTAGCACTGCCCCCTTTGAAGCAGTCTTGCCAAGGATCCTGACACCTGACCGAAAAGTAGCTAGACTTCCTGGAGCCCACTTCACAAAATGACACTTCGAATACTACACTGGACTCAGTCAAACTGATGTGTCTGGGAAGGGGGGCGTTTCTTACACTCCCTGGAATTAAACAGGAAGTCCGTGCCCTCAGAAGTCCCTCTAACCTGGAAGTCCCTTCACCGTCTTTTCCTGGGGAAATGCCTGTCTTTTTTTTTACTGGGAAGGTACGACCATCTCCTAACATAAAATCTGTGCCAGGTGCCCCTCGCCACGGCAATCCTGGGGTTTCCCAAAACAACCGTGTTCTGAAATGCGGAAGCCGACCAAAAAAACCCAGGGACTTCTATGTTAGCATTTATCAAAAGCCTGGTTTTTTCGACTAACCTGCAAGAAAATACAAAATAAAAGCTTCGGAGCTTCCTGTTTAATTCCAGGGAGTGTAATCAGAGTTAGACATTGCTTGCTAAGCCCTAGTACCAGATGTCAACCCCCATGAAAATAATGGCAAGAACCCAACTTGGAGGATGAAACTCCTTACGTAGGTAAATGGTTATATCAACCCTGCTTGCCGTCATGGTGGCAACCTAGGTCCTCCAGTAGAGAGCTTAGAATAAGGGTACCAACTTTTTCCCGTAGTCTATTTTACTAGGGGAACCCTCCCCAAGAAAAGAAACGGCAAAAGGGCACTACTGCAAAACCTAGAAATGGTCGTACTAACCCTCCGTTGCTTCCATGGTGGCAACTGAACCCCAGAGTGAGCTTGAACATCCTTTCGCCCACCTCGGGTCCGTTAGCAAAAACAACAAATGCTGTTTTTGTTTCCCCTGGGTTTTCCGAAGTAACCCCAAAAAAGAGGGTGTTCTTTGGGTTTCCCTGAGCACCAGTTAACAAAACAAAACAAATCCATTTACAAGTGTCTTTTCCTGGATGCTGGTTGGTTCTTCTTGTCGTGTGGTCGCCCCTTTCCCCGGGTCGGGAGCCGCACCCTTCAACCCCCAAACCCACCAGCCCGCCTCGGTGAAGAAGCGCACCTTGGTGCCGATGGCGTCCTGGCAGAAAGAAAAACGCCCGGCGCCGATGGTCTCAGCAGCCCCCTTTGGAGGTGGGGGTGGGGAGGTGCATTATACACCTGGACATTGCAACTTGTCAATGGTGGTGTCCCCTTATTTTGGTGTTGAAAAAGCAACATGTTTCAAGTGGTTGCAAAATGGAGATCTGTTAAGGAGCCCTGCTTTCTGCATTGGCTTTGAACGGATCACCTGGATCGCCAGTTGCGATCGCTTTTTTTTCCACGCACTTTACCCCCAAAACCCGCAACAGTGACTGAAAAAAGCGGCAACTTGGCTATATAGGCAGGTCGTTTTTTGGTGGCCGGTTTTGTTTTGAGGCGATGTGCGGACCCTTTGGAGCCGCGAAGAAGAAAAAGAAGAAGAAGAAGAAGAAGAAGCAGAAGAAGAAGAAGAAGAAGAAGAAGAAGAACGGATCACCACGTCAGGAACATCACGAAACATCTCACATTCAAGTTGGCGTCCAACGGAAGTAAAAACGTCTGATGAGAGTTGGGTGTCTCTGGGCTGTTCCCAGAAAGCTTAACTCTTCGTTGAGTGGAAACAACCACACCAACTAGCAAACAAAATCCGGAACCAGATGCCCGGGGTTCCCATCCCCTGGACGGGTCCCGATATTTGTTGACCCCACCCCCCCCCCCCCGACATCTCTGGTCTTCGGGGACAAAGAAGCTACATATGGTTGCTACTCTGCACCCATAGAGCGGATTGCTCTTGAACCGCCGGGCGACACTGGTGCAACTGGTTGCGGCAATGTTCGGGTGAAATGGAGCCGCGAGGCAAAGGGAAAAACTGTTGCAAGCTACCTGGCGTCTCCTTCTGACCCTTTAAAAATGGGTCAACGACCCCATTTTGGGTAATGACCCACCATTTTTTAAGGGTCATGGAGACTCCAGGTACCTCCTGCAAGGCAACTCTGAACTCCGGGCCCGTGGAAAACTCGCCACGTTCTTTTTGTGCGCTTGCAAATCTGACAAATGCAGTCGGGGGCCTTGCCTTTCAGGAAGGATCAACGAACTTGCCACCAACCTCAATGAAGGATTTCCAACATATGGGTATGAGCTTTAATTATAGCTTTGGACCCTTTGGTGGACATCGAAACTCGGGGATTCATGTCGACCACTCACTTTTCAGGGGTTCCCCGTTAAAATTCCTAGCCATATAGGGTTTGCCCCCTGGGGTGTTTAAACCAACCCATGCCGCACTCGGAGCATCCCGGGAGTCAACTTTCTCAACCAGCCTCAAAATCACCGAGGAAATCATGTCCACGACCCAAAAGTAAAAAAAGCGACCACTTTCAGGGTCGAACCCAGCCTTCGGCAAAAGGCCTTATCTGATGAGTCCCCTGTAAAGACCTACAAACGTTCTGGCTTCAACCATGGTTTCTCTCCGGTGCGAGATGGATTTCGCAACCGTCCACAGTATTTCGACCCCCAGGGGTTGTCCTGTGGAAGAAACTGAGGGGTCCGTCAGTCCCCAAACTCATCGACATGTTGAGGCCCATCCGTTGTTCCACCGACAGGAAAAGGACAACTGTCCAAACCCTTGGTGTAGTAGAGATAAAATGTACTTTGTGCAGCTCCCCACTAAAGAGTCTGCAGAACCAACAACTTCAAACAACATGCCAAAAAATCGGTGAAGATAAGTTGCTTCACTTTGGATACCCACCTTGGTTTGGAGACCTAACCCAAGGAGGGCCCTTCCATCCGATAGGATCTATACAACCCCCCTCTCTCTCTCCCACCTTCGCCGCAGAAGGGCGGGGCGTTCTACACCAAAGGACCCTTCTTGTCAGGCTTCCCGAACCTGGATCTAGGACCTAGGATGAATATACATATATATATATATACATACTCAGTTGTTCAGTGGGCCCTGGGAAAAAAAGGGAACCCTTTTTGGGGGAAGACCATTTTAGTGGGGCAGCCACCCAAAAAAAAGGGGAAAAAGGGGGCCACTGAACAACTGAGATATATATATATATACAAATATATATGGCACCCCCCCCCCCCCACTCCTTCTGCTTCGTCAACTCCGCCAACAACTTCTGCTTCTTCGCCTCCGTCAAGGGGCCCTCCTGCACCACCTGCCGCGTTTTGTTTGTTTCGCGTCGGTCCGAAGTGGAGGAGACGATTGCGGGGTATTCTCAGATGCCCAGTGTGGACCCAGACATAGAACCTATATTCGTGGGGATTGGGATACGTGATTTTGACCCATGGCCACAAACAAGGGGAAACCACTGCTTGTTGCTGTTTGTTGGTGGGTACAGGGGAATCAGCATTCCAGGGTTTCTTGGGTGCAGGATTTCGCCCTTCCACAGTACCTTTGGGGCCAGGACAAAAAATAGACCAGGGGAAACTGAAAAGTTGTCAAAAGGTCAGCATTGGGCAAGTGAGGTATCAAACTGGGTTGCTCTGGTCTAAAGCTTTTGTAGGTTTAATGGGCGCCCGGATCTACCAAGAACCGGAGTGTCCCCTGTTAGTAGGGATGCATTACTTTTGGATGGCAAAGTGGCCCTTGGTGCCAGAATGGTAAAGGATTCAACGACTGAATGTCGGCCATGTATCAACCGCTAATAACCTCTAGTTTGGGCTTGCTCTAAGGTTTTGTAGGCTTGCTGGGAACCCGCATTCATATTTCGTCGGGAAAGACAAAGGACCCTTGCAGGTAATTGGTTTCCCTTTGGCTTGAAACATCCCCGAAACCTACAAATCATTTGGGTGTCTCTTTGGCGGGCGCCGGATTTGGGTTTGTTTAAAAGAAAAACCAAAAGGAAACCGAAGCCATTTGTGGGAGTCCCCTATGACAAGTCATACCTGGAGTCTGAATGACCCTTAAAAAATGGGTCCATGACTCCTTTATTTTGGGTAATGACCGACCAACCAGTTTTTAAGGGTCATGGAGACTCCAGGTACCCATGCCCACAGTGATAAAGGTACCCCATGTAAAAAGAAGCTTGCGCGCACCACCAATCGGTGCATGCCCACACTTCATACACAATCATGCATCGCATGAAGTCCGCACACCCATCTCAAAAGAAGCAGACCAAAGTGTGAAGCCAACGGGCCTTTCCACCAACAACTCAGTGCCGGATCTTGGCAAGGTTTGGGTAGAGTGAGAGATCTCTAACCTGTTTCTCGTTGGGACTCCAGCTCCTACCCGGAATGTGATGTCCCAAATCATCGCACAGTGCCCAGGCCCCAGTGAATTTCCGTGGGGGAAAAGGACAGCCCCCGCCCCCTCCCAAAAACAGCAACCTTCCAAAAATGGGACCCGCGCCACTCCCAGTTTATCCATGTTGGTAGTCTGGTCCACAGCATTGGTATGGTCTGCCCCCTACTCCCAGACCCCAGCGGCCGTGGGAAGAAAGGCACTCTTTCTGGAAGTTGATTTTAATGGGAACCCCCCCAACAAAAAATGACACAAGCGGAATTGCCACAGGTCTCATGCCCTCCAAAATTGTGATGAGTCGTCCTAGGGTCCCCTTTTTCCACAACCCGAGTTATATCACCGGGCGTTGCAATCATGATTCAAGGGTACCACTTGTGCTGTTGCAAACGGCTGGGTCCTTTTTGAAAGCCGTTGCGAATTCTGGGGTCCCGGTCCGATTCCCAAAAAAGACGAGCCAGCCATCTGCCAAGGTGGTGGGAAAATATGCAGGATTACCATGCTCTACTTGTTTTCTGCGGTTGGAGGTTAGGATGTGGCTTCCCACCTCCATTTGCTTAAGACCCCTGGAAAAAAAACAGTAGTGATGAATTCCCTTTAAAACCAACAGGGGAAGAAAAAAAACATTCAGCACATGGAAGCCCACTCTACAAGAACCAAACCTTCACATCCCCCCGCCAATCCGTGAAAAGTACCAAGTACCACGTCCTGAACCAAAGAGTTCTGATGGCTAGCCCCCCCCCCAAGCCTCCCTCTTATCGGATTTGGAGCTCCCGGGTCCCAGCTCCCAGTGCGGCTCCCTTCCAAGCAGCAGTTCAGCCCTCCGAAGCCCATTTGGTGTCTGCTGAGGGAACCCTTGGGTTACAAGGCGGATTTAAAAAAAGCCCAAGGAACACCGGAAAAAATGGGGCGGGTCCAGTATTTTTAGCCACTTCCATGTCTTATTTAAACATGGGGCCTCCCCTTTCTTTCTTCTGGCTTCAAAACGAACAACAGCAAACAAATGCAAATAACGGGGGTGGCTCAAACTTGCAATACTGGACTGAAACCGCCGGATGATTCGTCTTTGCCTTAAAAAGATGCCCAGGTGCAGCTTTTTTGGTATGTTTTTTTGACCCACCGCCAAAGGCATCCCTAAGGCATCCCTTTGGCTCGTCCCAAAAAGGGCGAGGCGCCATGGTCTCACAAAGGTTCGCCACGGTGGCGGAGTGGCAGCAGTCGAACAAGCACACCGCCTGGCCATCCGCTGACGCGTCTTCGAGTAGATCCGAATCCGCGGAGAAGGAGACTCAGTTGTTCAGTGACCCTGGAAAAAAAGGGAACCCTTTTTTGGGAAGACCATTTTAGTGAGGCAGCCACAAAAAAAAAGGGGAAAAAGGGGGCCACTGAACAACTGAGGAGACGGCCGTTTCTGGGCTGTCCGTTTTCAGATCTGAAAGTGAAGAACTTTTAGTGGGTTCAATTCGGAACCCAAACACTAAACACAAAAACGCGAAGCCAGGGGGATGGCTGAAAACCACCAAGGTTTCTCACTTCCAATGGAAAGGTCCTTTATTTAGGACTCCCTTTAGGTGAGTTTAAAGAGAAACGAAAGCCATCGAGTTGATTGGTAACAAAAGGATCTGTTGATTTACCACTAAAATGGTCCAGACCCAAAAAGTCGAAAGTCCATGAACTCAGGAAGTCAGGGAGACAACCCCCAAATGCCCTTGAGTCAGCAAAGATTTCAGCGTACCTTTCCAGCACAAAGCTGCAATTTTGTTGCAGCCACCCACTACAAATCAAGACAACCATCGCAAACAACTTGACTTTGTCTACAGACCCAAGGAGAAAAAAAAACAAGGGGGGGGGGGGGGGGGGCGAAAACACCTACCAAGACCTATGAAGTTACGTCCTTCCGCCAAACCACCTCAAAGGGCTCGGACCGCGGCGATTTGGGCCACTCGGGTCCCGGATCTGCGGCTCTGCCTGGCAGTTCTTTGGCAGCGGCGCGTAGAGGTACTCGTGGATCTCAGTGTCCTCGGCGGATACTGGGCGCCCATGTGGCTGGCTAGTTGTTGTTCTTTTTTGGCGGTCTGTAGCAGGGCTGTGGTTGAAATGGAATCCACGAATCTGTGATACAACAAAAAGGGCCCCCCAAAGAAGAAGGACACAGCCATTTCTTCCCGAGTTGACCTTCCAAGACACTTCCTCCAGGAAAATCTGAAGGAAATGAGCCAACTACCCACAAAGAAAACAATGGGTTTGGCAAAGCTTCCAGTTCCTGAAAAAACGACCGTTTCTACCGGGTAAAGACCTTTACATGGCGAGTGTCCTTTGGGAATCCAAGCGATCGATGCCATCGATTTATGTCGCTCTGCTCGCCGGCGAGGTTCATCAGCATCGAAATGCCGAAAACGAGAAAACGAGAAAACGAGTCCAAGGGGTCGGGGCTCAGGTCATGGGGTTCAGGAGCACCGCCATTAAAACCAAGGGGAGAACATCTTTGGTACCCGGGGTTTCATCATCTTTGGGTACACGTTATCCCTTGTAATGGGAACAACAAAGAATGGGGGCAATGGGTTTCTATCCCTTGTAGTGGGTTTCATCATCTATCCCCCTACCCTAAGGGGTTTCATCATCTTGGGGTTGGGGCAATTCCATTGGGGCTGAACCTCGGGGGTCATCTTTGGGTTTTCACTGGCCCTATTTGCTGACCATAAAGTCACCCCAGTGGTAGGCACTTCAAACCTCCAACGACCAATCCAAGTGAATTAGAGGGAGACTGATCATTGGCTGGTGAAGTACAATGATTCAGCTTACCGTGGCAAACCTTTTTCTTTTGTCTTCTGCATGTTGGCAGTTAAGATGTCACCGGGTTGGATTCAGGCCATATGCTCGATTCTTAGCACCAACATGGTTTTCTCCATTGAGTACAATTCAGCAAATATAGCTCCTAAAGAAAGAACAAATGAACGTCGGATACAACATGATGCTGGATCCACTGCAGCATTTTGCTAGATTGCCAGGCCTTTATGATTTATGATCAGTCTTTCACTAGTGCATGAAACAAATACAGTATAAACTGGTAAGATAGGAAGTCAGACAGACTGAGCTTGAGACGTTGCAAATGTGGTTTTGCTAGATCGTACAAGCAGGAAAACCGAGAACAAAAAGAAACAAAAACACCTACTCCTGTGTGAGAATGTCTGCCAGCTACCTTTCCCTCAGAGAGTATGGCTTTTCGTTCTTGTTTGGTTTGTACAGGTTTGTCCAGAGGGTTCCCTAGGGTTCCACAGGAATCCTCAGGGAGCCTTAAGGAAGCCCCTTAACCACCCCTCCTTAGGGACTCCATAAAACAAGCTGTGAAACTCATGGAACTCCTAAGTGCTCTAAACGGAAAAAGAAAGGCCGAAAGACCGTGCGCTAACCAAACAACAACGCGCGCAAATACAAAACACGCCAAAAAAGAAAGCGCTTGAAACGGCTGTAGCTCAAGAAGCAAACTCAGCCGTTCAAAATGGGAGGGATCCCTTTTAATAGTCTGTAATTAATCCGTGCAACACCACTGTCCCTCCGAATGGCTTGTTTCTGCGTGGTTGTGCTTTGAATTTGCCTTGAAAGGGGTCCCAGGCCGCAACAAGGGGACCCCCAACACGACAAACTCAAAACACTCAAAACGCGCAAAACGAAACCCCACCAAGCATGCAAGCCTGCAAAAGCGACAAACGTGCTTGTCAAGGGCACCTTCACCTGAAAACACGCCCAACCAAACGCTCGCGAGCAATGAGAACACCACCCCAAGACATGCGCTTCAACAGGCCGTGCCAGGCCAAAACAAACCAAACTCCTACACAAGCGCTTGAACCAAAGAACAAAAACACAAAAGCAACACATAATACAACGACCCACAAAAAGGTGCCAAAAGGCTGCACCAACCTATCGGCACAAACGACACAGCACAAAAGACAACTTGATGTTTGGCCGTTCTAACACCTTACCGCTTAACTCACCTCCTGAGTGGATAGGCCAAAAGTAGTCCTGGAACTTTGTATTCACCACCAAAATGGTCCAAACCCCCCAAAAAAGAATCAAAGTCCATGAACTCAGGAAGTGATCTAAACACGGAGCCACAAGTCACCGGTGACTTTCCGCCTTCCGCGCGCGTGGCGCATGGGACGCGACGAGTGCCGAGGGTCCAGGATCACCGCCTTGGGCCATGCCTCGTCGATGCAGTCCAGGGGGCAGATGCAGTCGGCGGGCATGGACTTCTTGTCCGCCTGCCAAGACAGACTTTTGGTGCGATACTAGGTCCTCCAGTAGTTTGAGGGTAGAATAAGGGTACCCGTTTTGTTTTCCTTTTTGTTTCCTTTTTCGGTATATAGTGTATTTTAGAAGGGGAACCCTCCCCAAAAAAGGGTAAAAGGGCACTACTGCGGGACCTAGGATAAGTAGGGAAGGTGGGAATGAACCCAGGGATTCCCTTATACAAAGAAAACCCCACCGATCGCCTAAAAAACCTCACCTGAACAGGAAACTCGCTAACCAAAAAGGGGTATACAACATATTTATTTCAGCAAATGGAAGGGTTTCAGCGGTTTCGGGGGGGTTTTCCGCAGACTAGGGGATTGGGTGGGGGTGGGGTGGGGGGGGGGGTTGCTGGGTGTGGGAGGTAGCAGACCCGTTTCACCCACCCGTGCTGACTGTTGGTTCTGTCTATATGGTGAAGGCTTGCATAGGCAGTAATTACAAATAAAGCTTTGGAATGCCTGTGGGCGCAGGGCGGGTTTTCTATCGCTCCCTAAGAAATCCCTAAGGAAACCAGGAAACCCTACAAACCCCTTGTAAAAACCTGACAAGGAAATGAAGACCAGTTTTTGGGCGCTCAGCTGGAGCACCCGAAGGTGGTTGGTGTCCTTTTGGTTTGCTTTTGGCTGTTCCCATTGGGTGCTGTAGATCCCCCAGCAAAAAGTTTAACTGTTTGCTGGTTAAAAGGAAAATATGCGGGGAATCCAAAAAGTTGAAGTCTAAAGATCCAACCCAATAGCGGTACAGCAGTTACCTGAAGAGCAGGCCGCAGGTAGCTCTTCGCCATTTTTTCCTCGTGTTGGGCTGGTGAAGGAAGATGCCAGCCCATTCTCTCACTCACCCATTTGCCATTATTTTCCTTCTCCAACACCAACATCTTGAGTGTTGGGAATGGAATAGGACCAGCCTTCCCACAGCGAAAAATCTCTAGACGAGTGGGAAGCTGGGGAAGAGAGAAAGGGAGTGAATGGGAAAGTAAGCTCTAGAAATCCATTCACCTGATTCCCTTCCTCCCCCATCCCTGACAGGTATAGTGAGCAACAATCAGTTCGCATACCATGGGTGCAGTTATATACCACACATGTTGGAGATGTCAACCAGGAACTTGGGTGGGAAATCCGCTGGTGTGCCACCGAATTGTTACTCACTCTAGAGACTTTGTCAAGGGTAATATAGCGGGCTGAATAATCACTAACAAGTATGCTCCCATGGTCACGACTTGATCTATGTTTATCGCACCCCAAACTCCATTCTAATGATTTAGGCCCTTAGACTTTGCCGAAAATCCGTCAAGACTGGGCCCCCAGCTAAAAGTTTAACTTTAGCGGTTTAGTGGGAAAACTACCACTAAACCAACTAACAACCTCTAAACACCTAAGGGCACGGAACCCTAGAAATTAAAAAAAAAAGGCTGGAAGCCACCACCAAGACCATCTAGGGCTGCTCCAAATCTGTGGCCTCAAAGCCCTTGCCGCCCTTTTTTGCAGTCACCGGGCGGGCATTTGGAGTCACTAGAGGCTGGGCTCCCCTGTCTTCAGAGTTCACATGCAAGGGGAGGACATCCTCAGATCTGGTGGGTCAAAATAATCGGCTCTCCCAGCGAACATCCGATTCAATTCAACCACTAAAGTCGAACCGTTCTAAAATGGGGGGGGGGAATTCACCTACCCAAAATGGCACTGCAGATATGATGCGCTTGTTCAAAAATATTCACATCGAGAGTGTAGCCATCGCTTGGTAAGGGTCCTCCATACTGTGGATGGACGAAATCCATTTCGCACCACCTAAGAAACCCTAGAATATGATCCCCTGTAAATACCAACGAACAATGGTTTTCAATGGTGTCTTGGGTGGTGCGAAATGGATTTTGTCCATCCACAGAACCCCAAGGAGGGGGGGCTGGTCAACTGTGGCTCCTGCGGGTCCTTTTGGCTCTGAAGGCACCGCTTGAAATCTGGACTCCCAAAAATTATGAGAAAGGCAAAGCAAAGGTCGGACAAGCATGTGTTCGTTGTTTGCTTTTTTTGTTTGTGGCTGTTTTTACCTTTTTCCAGTTTGGTTGAAAAGAACAGGCAAAGGAACGCAACGATTTCAGGGGTCTCCGCAGACTCCGCCATCTTTTTTGGGGGAGGGGGGGGGTCTCCCTTCCCCACAAAACGCGTCCGCGGCGTCCGCGGCGAAAAGCGGCCAAAAGCGGAAAGCGGCGGGGCCATGCCTGGTATTGGGAGCCGTGGCCGGAGTAGTGGAAGAAGAGGAGATCCCCGGGCTGGGCGTCCTGGTAAAGCCACTGCATGGCCTGGCGCTGGCGGCTTCTTGGGGAGGGGGGGCGGCGGCCAGTGGGGGAGGGGATGATATGGGGGGGGGGGGGGGTTCTGTGGTTTGGGGGGGTTCGGGGTTGGGGTTTCGGGGTTTGTGGAGACTGCAGCAGGGTGCTTCCATTTGATTTTTCTCGCCCCCGGAATAAATGGGGAAACCTATGTCCAGTGAAATCGATTCCAGTAAAAAAAAGGAAAGGAACATATGATTGAGCGAGCCAAATACCAGGCGCGACGTTCGTTCAGGTACTGTTGACCCCGGATTCATCAACACCAAGGACGAACCCGGTTTCCTTCACCACCTAAGAAACCATGGTTGAAACCATTGTTGGTATTTACAGGCGAATCACTCTTCCAGGGGTTTTTTGAACTGTGGTGCAGGAGCGTGCAGGAACCCTTTCTAAAGCTCAAACCAAACCAAACCACCAGTTGGAAGCAAAGTGGTTCTTGTCTGACGGTTGGTTTTGTCTGTCTTTTTTGAGTTGGTACCGATTCTTCACTGGCTTTAAAGGAAGAAGGAAACACCACCTGCTTTTGGGTACCCGAAACGCCTGACAGCCTCACAGCTCGGGCGAGAGCTTTGATCTCCCAGGTACCGACCCCGGTGCCTTCTGTTAGGAAGGCTGCCGCGAAGTTTTTGGGGGGGCTGAATTCGAGTTGGACCATCCCAAACCCAAGTTTTTTTCGCCGAGCGCCGTTTTTGACGCCAAAGTCGACACTGCTAAACATGGGGGAGCTCTCATCATGACGCCCAAATCGCAGGGCCGCGAAAGCAGCAGGGCCGAACTCAAGTTGGACACCCCAGCCCTATCCTCCATCGTGCCACCCGGAACCGGAACCCCCCAGCTTACAGCTGGGGAAACACGTCGTTTATGCATGTCAGTTAAATTGTCAAAAGATGCGTGGTGGGTGTAGATGCATATGAGTAATCATGAATGAGGGTTTAAACGTAAAAGATGGGTTGAAAAAGTATTACAAAGCATCAGATAGTGTTAATTATCCAAACAAATTGCATTTCACATTGTAACAATGGTTTTTACACGGAACCCCCTCAACAAAATTGGTGTGTAAAGGGAAAACCCTCAACAAAATTGTTTTAAGGGGAAAACACCTTTAAACAAAAAATGTGGTTTGTTGAAGGGACACCCCTCCACAAAATGAGTTTTTCAAGAGAGAACCCCCCTCAACAAAAAAAACACATTTACGACGGGCACCCATGGGGAGGTGTCTTTGGAACCGCCTCGAGGATGACCTTCTTGTAAGGCCACTTGGACTTGTCCTGATCCTCGTTGATCATCAAAATCTCCTCCAGCTTGAAGCCGTACTGCTGGACCAGCACCTTGCAATGAGGGAGCTTCGGCTTCTTTTTTTGAAGCGGAGGGTACCCTTTCTGTGATGTTCCTTGCCATTCCCTGTACCCCTCGCGGGGGGGGTCCTCCTTCTGAGGCGAAGGGTATGCCCTGGTGTTGTTAAACGGAAAACCAGAGGGAAAAACAAAATTCATGTTGGTGTTTTTTTTTCTGAAAAACGACACACCCAAACGGACATATAGGCCACGCAGGGTGGTTTGGTGGCCCTGGATTGGCCCTGTACAACCAGACAAATGGGCTGTGCCTGAACTCAACGTGAGAACCTGGTACCAAACCCTACAGACTTGCGAACCCTTCACGGGGGGGGGGGTCCGGCCTCTCCCGTTGAGGGGTGATATCAACCCCTACAACGAAAAGGTCAATCAGAGCATTGCTTCTGGCTTGAGTATTGCTTGATGCCGGAACTGGCATATGTTTTAGAGACACTATGATTGCACTTGCGACCCCCTCTCACTGCTTTTATGTTTCGGCCAGCAACTAGAACTCCGGATCAGGAGTCCGGGCTTGACACGGCTCCGGACCCTTTGGTGCCTTTCAGACCAAATGGCAATGTGTTTTCCTGAAAACAGCAAGATACGCAAGTCCTCTATTCTTCCAAGGTTTGGTCATCTGTAGGTCTCGAGCAACCCAACGACTTTACAACAAGGGCATATTGTTTGAAGCAATCTCGAGCGTGTTTTTGTATCTTTCTGGAACCCGCAGGGTCCTTTGCACAAAAGTCTCGAACTGGCGTCTGAACTCGGTCCATTTCCCAAAGATTCCTCCATCCCTTGAGATTTTGGGATCCATGCCTTTGTGCGGGAAAATGAAGAACAAAAGGCGCGCAAAATTCGCTCTCTCCCACTCTCTCGCTGGCCCGAAGGACAAGAAACTAAAAGGTGATCACCTTTTGGAACCAAAAGACTAAAGATCCACCACCACTGGGAAACCTGATTTGGTCAAAGGTTGATTCGCTCTGGTTTTCCATCTATCTGCAACTCTTTGGTATTGATTTCGTGGAATCAGGGCTCGTTCGCAGATAAGAACAACACCAGCGTCCTCCCGACCTCCTGGGGCTTCACTTTGGGCGTGCCTTTCTTTTTGGAGGGACCCCCCCTTTTCCGGCTTTTGTGGGGTTTCAGGGGACACGTCAGAGGAGAACCAAGACTTTGGGCGGGTCCCCGAAAAAATACACAAACCAACAAACAAACAACCAACCAACCAAACAAACAAACAAACAAACACACAAAGAAACAACAACAGGTTCGGACCAAATGAGCAAGAACACCACATGGGCTATGTGTCCCCCAAATGAGAAAGACAATCAAACAAGTTTCTCAGCCAGTTTGCGCAGGGCTCGCTTACTGCAAACGCAGCAGGTTTGGTTTGGTGGTTTGGACCTTGGGCCTGGGGAGTACCAGTAGCAAAACCCCATTTAGCTTCAAAGGAAGTGGTTTTCAATCCCGAAACCACCCATCCAAATCGCCAATTAAGGGTTTTCGGAACTTCCATTTGCAAGAAGAAAAGTATGTCCAGCAATGATAGATCCCCTTTAAACCAAGAAGGGGAAATCAACAAACATACTATTGAGCAAATGGAAGTAGCCAAGCCTCATTTGTTCGTCCAATCCCCTCCCCCCCCCCCAGCCCAGCGGAGCATCCAAAGACTTTGAGCAAATGGAAGTGAACTGACCATCCCTGTAGAAACAGAGGAAAAGACAAACAGCATGGCAGCACGTTTCCCAGCACCTGCTGAGCTGGTTCCAACGCTTCACTTTTCGTTTCCATTGGAGTGTGTTTCGAGAGCCTTCGCGCCCCCCCTGGGATTTCGCGCAATTTCGCGCGGGATTTCGCGCGCGCCTTCTGCATGTTGTTCACGTCGTTGACGCATCCCCGGAGCTCCGCGCGGGTGTGGACGTAGTTGATGCCCACCAGCACCGCGCGCTTGCCTCGCTTCGTTTTGCGGTGCTCGCGACTCGCGACTCGACCACGGGAACCCTCAGATGCCCAGTGGCCATCCTTTTTTGGTTGGTCGACTTTAAAGGGGAACCCTCTCAAAAAAGTAAAGGAAAAAAGGGCGCCACTGGGCAACTGGGAACCTATTTGGAAGAGCCGGAAGGTTGGCAAACCAAGCGACGCAAAATGGCAACATGGCTTCGGTTTTCCTGTTGGCTTCCCTTGAAAATCACCAAAAAAGGGTACCCAATAAAGACACCATATTTCGGTTTTGAGGGAAAAAAACAACATCGGAGCTCAAATAAAGCGTCTCCCTAGAGCTGATGTTGAACCAAAGGGGGAAGCTTGGGGAACCCTGCCCCAGGATTTCTCTTGTGGGCACTGAAGAAAGATGAAATTGAGCCAAAAAAGCAGCCAACTAACACGTTGCAAAAGGAATTGGAACCCTTGTTGGGGGGTTGATTTCATTCTTCTCAACCCAAACAGAAAGGGAAAAGCAACAACCCTTTTTGGGCTTGGCAATTTCCAGTAAGGACCAAGCGAAACCAAAAGGGATGTGGAGGGTGCGATAGAAATTGGGAGGGAAACCATACGCGAAGCCGTCTGCCTTTTAGGGAAACTATACCAAATACGAAGACCAAGGGAAACTATCCTTTTGAATGAAAACTGGGGGAAATTGAAAAACATCTGGAAACCCAGGAAAGCGTTCTACTTACTTTAAAACAAAAACAAGCAAAACAAACAAATAAACAAAACCAAACTGGACAGCTCCTTTAAGAAAACCGAACACAACAACTGGAAGAAGACTGAACACCCGGGAGAAAAAAAAACTCCGCGCTCGCGGCGTCCTGAAAGGTCCTCCACGTCTTGGCGCCAAGTCGCGGCCCGTGGCGTTCCGGGCGGCCACGTTCAAGTTCTCGAAGCCGCTGGAGGTGGTGTCAGAGCCGCAGTTCCCCATGCCTCCAGTAAGATCTGGGCGTCAGTTCAGGTTCCATTTGGTTGAGGCCCCAGGAAAAAATGAGAAAATATGTCCAGTAGAATCTGAAGATATGGCTGTGGTGGTCAAAACCGTTTTGGGATCAACCATTTTGGTTGGGATGGGTGAGTTCACCACCCATTTTAGAACCTATTTTGGTTGGATTGGGATGTTCACTGGGGGTACGATTTGGATTTTGACCCATGGCCAGGTTGATTCCCCATTCTCTTCACCCATCGTTCTCTTTGGAAATCACCCATTTTTCTGGGGGATTGGCCAATGTATTGAACAGAAAGATCCCTGAAGAGAATGGGGAAGGTACGGTTAGAGATTTCCACTTTCTAGAAAACAGCTTGGATGTGGCGAATCCGTGGATGAAAAACCCGTGTATAGGATATTAAAAGAGTACTGCAGTTCCATTTGCTGAAACTCCCCCCCCCCTCCCCTGGGAAAGTCTCAGAAAATATGTCCAGTAGTGAAACCGATCCCCTGCAAAACCAACAGGGGAAAGTAACTGCCCAGAGCCGATTTCCACCAAAACCTCAGGTTGTCCGTTTGAAGCGGGGGACGTCTTGGTTTTCTGTGGTTTCCCTTTAAAGCAAATCACGGGTAGCCTCTAAAAAGACATTTGCTGAAATTCCCCCCGGGAAAATCTGAGAAAATATGTCCAGTGAAATCGATCCCCTTCAAAACCAAACGGGGAAAATAACAAATATTATTCAGCAAATGGAAGTCCAGTGAGATTGATTTTGCACAAAATCCTCCAGAGGTTTTTCTTTTGGAAACCAACCCACCATAAGGGAACCTCAAAAATGACACAACCATGTACATTGATCTGGGCTGTCTTTTCGGGGCTGTCCGCTTTCTGATCCGCGGTTGAGTGGGATTTTACGACTAACCCCTAAAAGCCTAAAAGCCTAAGGAAACGGCTTGGAACCACCAAGTTATTTTCCAGTCAGATTAAGGAATGCAGGACCTACTCAGGTAAGGTCTTGGAATTAGGGTAAAACTTGCGGGATTCATACTTGGGGGTAGATTGGTTGCTGTTGACTCCTCTACAACTTGTTGTGGTTTCATTACTATGGGGGTTGGGTTTAGTCGGGAATCAGACCACTTTTGGAGGGGAACACCCCCTATGAATGAACTGACATGGGGTTAAAACTCGATTCATCTGGGTGTCCTTATTGGTTCATCTACAACCTGCGAAGGATAACCTAAAAAAGCACACACACACACACACACACACACATGGGTGTGTAGAAATCGGACCCCCACAAAAACAAATGGCTTCGGTTTTCCTGTTGGTCGCCCTTTCAAACAATCAAAAAGGACACAGCCATTTGGAGACCCAAGCAACAAAAGTCCCGAACCAGTAGGCAAAATGTTTAAACCTGGTTCAGGATTTTGTGTATCACAATACATCATTGACCTGGATACCTTTCCCAAGGACCCCTCAACGGTTTTCGCCAAAGAACCTTGGCACGTGGACTTTGGACGGAAAGCATAGAACATAGGTGTCCTTTTGGAAAAATAGATGGCCCTGGTAAATGGAATCAAACCCATCTAAACCAGTGCCTTCTATTTTTAACCAAACTAGCCTAAAAAGGACACCTATGGCATAGAACATGCACATGTCCAAGTAGCTTGATGTCCCGCAAAAGTCACCCCGGTTCAATGGTACCGTGGACACTTTGAAACCCATGGGAAGCCAGCACGTTTGCGGGTATCTGGGGAATATCATTCCAAGGCTTCGGAACCGTGGCGCGAAATGGAGTTCGCAACCATCCCTCAGTTGTTCAGTGACCCTGGGAAAAAAAGAATTGGAACCCTTCTTTGGGGCTTGGATCATTTTAGTGGGAAGAAGCCACCCCAAAAAAAAGTTGGAAAAAGAATTGGGGCCACTGAACAACTGAGAAATCCACAGTAGATTAGAAGGAACCCGCTGGTTTCTGGTGTCTGCGGACCTCCAATCAAAAGCCGCGAGCTCAGGAAGAAAATCAACCAGCAACTGGTTTCGTGTTGGTGTCTTTGCTGCGATTTGTCTTTCTTATTCTTTTCCGGTGGCTTGAATTCAAAGGGAAACCCACGCAACTAGAAGGCAAAGGCAGGAAACAACCGTTTGTTCGGTGGCTTGAAAGAAATCCATATAACAGGGAACATCACGTGCCAAAGAAAAAACAAACCAAACAACAAGAGGAAAGGAAGAGCTTGCCACTGGATGGCCGAAACGCCTGCGACGTGCGAAAGGCTTAGCCAGGAAGTTTGCGCTGACTTGAGCCAAAAACTGCTGCAAGCTGCTTGGGTGTTCAACCCACGTCAGGTAAGCGGGGTTTGCTGTGGGCGTGTCTGAAAACGGGGGCCCAGCGAAGTGGTGGTGTCCCCCTTGGTTCTGTGGTGTTCCTTTAAAGCAACCCAAACAAGTGTTTAGTATAACCCATCTGTAGCACAAATCTTGGGGTATGTCCATTTGGGGTATGTATGTTGGCCCTGAGAAACCCAAAAAGGTCGAACAAAACACACCCATATGCTTGGCTTCAGAGATTTACTACAAACAAGGCCACCCTGTCCAGACATGTTCAACACGCTCAAAAGCTTCGGTAAGCATGGGATGATTGGTTGGACAACCACAAACTATTATGACACGATTTGATATGTCAACCACATGAGCAAAGTTGGGCCATGGTCATTTGGGGGGCCGAACGGATTGATCAACCCCCATATTCGCTCATTCTGAGAAACCAGATCTGGGTTGCTCCGCGAAAGGTTGATCAATGCTTCCCTGCCATTTTCTGAGCAGATTCGGATCCAAAGAGTTGAGGACCCCTTGGATGGGGGGTCCATTTGCATTGTGTCTTCGTGCCGGCATGGTTTTATTTTTTTATTTTTTTTTTAAGCAGTTATCAGTGATGAGCATTCCCCTACCCAACAGGCGAAAATACTTAGCAACAGCAAACTCAGAAGATGGAAAAGCGATTCACCGAGTCTCATTTCGGCTCTCGACTCTCGGCAAAGTCGACATGCGGGTCTTGCATCCCCAGCCGAAAGTAGAACAAAATTCAACTACACCATATGGGCCGGTCTTTTTGAGGGTACCTTTTTGGGTTCTAAAAGAAACATGAAAGGTCCGATAAACATGGGCTGACCATTGGACACTCACAAGATGAATGTTTCAACCACATGGGGAAAGTCGAGCGCCAGGAATGTTGATCAACCCAAGTATTCATTTCATGGAAGACAAGTGTCTGAACTCGAAAGCTTCAGAGGGCCCCTTGCCTCGGCTTCCCTAGTTGTAGAAGCCGAATCGGGGTGTGGAGGTGAGGTGTGAAACCCCATGTATCCTCTACAAAAGCCATGTCAAATCCCCAAACTTATCTAAACCACCAACTGAGGAAGAGCTCTCACGCCCTTAAGCAAGTGAACAACACCCCCGAAACCCATTTCTTGGCTCTTCAAACATAGGCCATCTTAGACGTGTTTTGCACGCAGAAACACTTCAAGGTTGGCTTGAATTGCCTCGAGCAAAAGTCCGGGGCTTTTGGGCAGCGACCGAACCATAGATCTCCCCAGTTTTTGCGGTAACCAGGCCAATCACCTCGAGAACTTCCACCCAAAAACCCCCGATGAAAATGGTTTCCTCGGTTGCCATTGACTCCTCTGCAAGTGAAAATCACTGTTTCCGGCTTCAACTCGGAAAACCAACTTGATTTCAGCCAAAAAGTTGAAGTCTGAAGATCCAACCCAATAGCAATCAAGGTTTCCCCAGAAGAAAATGTACGTGATTGTGAAAACCTGTTTGGGGGTACTGGAAACATCGCGGATACTTGCTTGAGTCGAACGATAATCAAGTATGTAGGGGTGTTTGTACCAGGGAGCTATACGAAAATGATAACCAGAAACCGGTATACCACCCCACTTACTATGAGGTTCATATGTTTAT